CCCAAAATCACCCCAAAATGTCCCAAAATCACCCCAAATCCCCCCAAAATCCCCCCCAGGAGCAGACCACGTTCATCTGCGTGTGCATCGCCGAGTTCCTGTCCCTGTGTCCCTGTGTCCCTGTGCCTGTCCCTGTGTCCCTGTACCACTGGCTGTGCTGTCACCCTGTCTGTGTCCCCAAATCACCCCAAAATGTCCCAAAATCACCCCAAAATCCCCCCAAAATGTCCCCCAGGAGCAGACCACGTTCATCTGCGTGTGCATCGCCGAGTTCCTGTCCCTGTGTCCCTGTGCCTGTCCCCGTGTCCCTGTACCACTGGCTGTGCTGTCACCCTGTCTGTGTCCCCAAATCACCCCAAAATGTCCCCAAATCCTCCCAAAATCACCCCAAATTCCCCCGCAGGAGCAGACCACGTTCATCTGCGTGTGCATCGCCGAGTTCCTGTCTCTCTACGAGACGGAGCGGCTGATCCAGGAGCTGGCCAAGTGTCGCATCGACACGCACAACATCGTGGTCAACCAGCTGGTGTTCCCCGAGCCCGCGCGGCCCTGCCGCATGTGCGAGGCGCGCCACCGCATCCAGGCCAAGTACCTGGACCAGGTGAGCGCACCTGGGGGGGTTTGGGGGGTTCAGGAGGGGTTTGGAGCAAAGATCTGGACCAGGTGAGGGCACCTGGGGGGCTGGGGGCAAGGATCTGGAGCAGGTGAAGGCACCTGGGGGGGTTTGGAGCAAAGATCTGGAGCAGGTGAGGGCACCTGGGGGGGTTGGAGCAAAGATCTGGACCAGGTGAAGGCACCTGGGGAGGTTTGGAGCAAAGATCTGGGCCAGGTGAAGGCACCTGGGGGGTTTGGAGCAAAGATCTGGAGCAGGTGAGAGCACCTGGGGGGGTTGGGGTGGGATTTGAGGGGCTCAGGAGGGGTTTGGGACAAGGATCTGGACCAGGTGAGGGCACCTGGGGGACTTGGGACAAGGATCTGGAGCAGGTGAGGGCACCTGGGGAGGTTTGGGGCAAGGATCTGGACCAGGTGAGGGCACCTGGGGGGGTTGGGGTGGGATTTGAGGGGCTCAGGAGGGGTTTGGGACAAGGATCTGGACCAGGTGAGCGCACCTGGGCGGTGAGGTGGGGTTTGGGACAAGGATCTGGGCCAGGTGAGGGCACCTGGGGGGTGAGGTGGGGCTCAGGAGGTGTTTGGGACAAGGATCTGGAGCAGGTGAGGGCACCTGGGGGGTTTGGAGCAAAGATCTGCAGCAGGTGAGGGCACCTGGGGGGCTTTAGAGCAAAGATCTGGGCCAGGTGAAGGCACCTTTGGGGCGTGGGACAAGGATCTGGAGCAGGTGAGGGCACCTGGGCGGTGAGGTGGGGTGTGGGGGGGTTTGGGACAAGGATCTGGACCAGGGGAGTGCACCTGGGGGGTTTGGGG